TTAGTACTTTTACTTTGAAGCTTCACAGGAAGTGGTTAGTTTGTGCAATCGTGTGCAAATGAGCAGTGGTAGGAAGTACATTTACCCAAGTTCAACTTTGAAATACTTGTACTTATTTAAATGTAATGCTATACCTTTTACTTTTACTCCATTACATTTAAATGGGAAATAAGGTATGTTATACTCCAAAACACGTGATCAACTTTTAAGATATGCATCTCTAAAAATTAAACTAGTGGACTAACTGTTTATGGTACCACAAAGTAAAATGATACAATATATTACAAACAGTTATTGTGTGTATCAGAACTGTGTTTGTTTAAAAGGCAGCTTGATGCAACAATATTAAAAATTTCATAATTGCTGTTCTGTACTTTTACTTAAAAATGTAGGACTTTTACATGTAATGAAGTATTTTGACGTTGATATATTGCTTCTATACTTAAGTAAAGGATATGAGTACTTCTTCCACCTCTGCTGGTAACTGTAATCCAGTAATTTCATATGGTTCTGAAGTGGGCCTTTTAAGCATAACGGGTATAATTTGATGCCAATACTTGTGTACTTTTGTAAGATTTTGATAGCAGGATTTTTACTTGACTTTACCATAGGTCTAAAACAAGTTTGTTTTACTAAACACTGACTGATATATGTTTAACATGGATATACACAAATCTAGGAAACAGAGCCGAGATGACAGAGGTAATTTGAAACGTTATGTGAAAATGTTTCCTGCCCTCTGAGATCTGACCTGAGAGGGAAAGGTCTCATGACTTTCTGCCATGGTGTGCACATTACCAGCTCACTGCAGCAGTTTAACCCTCGAGTCGCTTCAAAACTAAAGTTGCTTTGAAAATAAAAGTTAGTTAAATCTTTTAATCAATCCTGATCACCAAATCATTTACAATTTTCAGATTTTTAACGCTTACTTTAACACGCTAGTGGGATTAATTTCACAGTCTGGGATATGTCAATGCTTAAAGCTGACTGAATTGGCTGAATTTGTTTTTTGTGAATGAAATAAAACAAAAACACATGTAGCTCCATATGGCAAAATCACTGGAGAAAGATTATAAAAAAGACAAACATTTTTTAATTGGGAAATGTTTCTGCTTATGGGTCTGTGAGTTATTGTAAGCGAACAAATTTAATCTTTTGATAACGACATAGACTTTACAATGTAATCATTAAACAAAGTGCATAGATGCATAAACAAAATGTTATTTCAACATGTATATAATTTAGACCGGCATGCGCAACAGGAAACAACTCTGATTAACATCACAGTTACAGTTTAGATACACAGATTTTATGATTTTATGACTTTCCGGAAATCGGGTGGCTTTCACTGAGTGGCAAGTGAAAGTAAAAGTTAACAGCAGAATCACTTCTCTGAATCCACCCTTTTTTAATCTAATCTAACACAAGCGTGAAACACAGGCTCAAAATCAATTTAACAGGAAGTGTCACTACTGTGCTGTACTGCTTTATATTTGATTTCGGTTGAGTCTTCATAGATGAAACAGATTTAATTTGAAAAGAGTTGAGACACAGATGATTAATCCACACAAGTTTATACATGTCATAAATTCTTCATAATAATGACTTTGATCATTGGCTAAACAATGGTAGCCATTTTATAAGAGCAGACGTCATTACATTTGCAATTAAAAGATGCAGCACCTTCTTAAGCTTCATGTGATATCTGAATTTATTTTGAGTCACTATCAGGGGCTGCGGATAAGCCTGTGCCATCAGTCAGAGGAGGTCATTTTAAATGTTTAATCTCAATGTTGTTTAATTTCTACTTCTATATTTTAATACGGTCACTTTTCCAAGAAAACATAGTGTACTTATGTGTTATTCGTAGGGGTGTAACGATTCACAGAATTCACGGTTCGGTACGTACCTCGGTTTGGGGGTCACGGTTAGGGTTGGGAACTGAAACTCGGTTCCAGATGAGAACCGATAAGAAAATGCCGGGTACCCATACAAAATACACAATTTCAGTTCTGCTTAACGGTTCCTAAACGCGGTAGACCCTATATTCCACCGGGTCCGTCTGCGCCGCGGCACTGCGGTGACCCGGTGGAATACAGGGTAGGAGGACCCGGCCATCTGTGTGTTCTGGAGAATCAAAGAATGGCCGGTCATCAGCAGGCCATTGACGGCTGGCTCTGATCGCTGACGTCCGGCACCGCCCTTAATTTTTAAAAACTGCATCATGTAAGTTGCGCTGACAGGCGACAGAGGTCCACAGTTGCCCCGCAGTGAGGCTTCCCCCGCCCTCCAGTAGACAGTTCACAAGCTCAGTCACTTCATAACACCAAAGACGCTCTGAAGTGAGGCTCCACTACACTAAAAAAGAAAAAGACAAGGCACAGTGTAATGCCTATTAATAGCTTGCCACAGGCATAGCTCAGTTAAGATAAAGCACAGCTATTGTGTAATACATTTGTATTGCATGTATATTTTTTTATTTGTAAAAATGTCAGTTAAAGCTTAAAAGAATAAAGATATTTTTGTTATCTAAACGTTTGACCTCTTTTACAATTTTGCTAAGTCGAAACGGGGAAACTCGATAAAGAACCGGATTCTTGATAATCGGCCAATACATAAATTTCAAAACCGATACCCACCTTAGTCACGGGTTCGTACCGGTTCAATACAACAAGAGTTACAAGCAAAAAACAGTCCCAAATGCATCAATTCCAGGTTTCTTTAGTTTTAGTTTTGCACAAGTTCAGCCTAGTACAAATAAGGAACTCTAACTTTTGGAATACATTAACTGTCATTACACAGTGAAAAACAAACCACCTATAAGTAATCTAGCTAATCAGCACGAAACCGCTTCCATTCATTTTGTTCATTCTACCAGAATGTTGTTTGTATATTATATGAGGTTAATAACCCAAGATGTCTCTTTTGAAATGAACAGGATATCGCATTGTGTTGGTTACTTTCGTGCAGTTGTATATTGTCTTAAGTTAATTTGGCGTGTTCCTATTTATGACATGCTTTTATCTTTGAAGGAGAACACAGTACGCTGTTGAACAGGAATATGAATCTATATGCTTGGAAACAAAACAGTGGAATAGGAGATTTAACGAGAGAAAGTAATCGTATCTACATAATAAAGAAGCAAAGTAAAACGTAATGGTTAAGTGTTCGACCCCCGAAAAGGCGCACAAGGCGTCTAATGTTGATATTGAAATTGTCAATAAATTTATTTGGAAAAAAAACGGACA